GTGCCACTGTGTGTGCCACTGTGTGTGCCACTGTGTGTGCCACTGTGCGTGCCACTGTGCGTGCCACTGTGCGTGCCACTGTCCAGCTCTGCTTTGTGCATCCTCTGCCCAGGCCAGGGGGAACCTTCTCTCCGGGCAGGCCGAAGCACAGCTTGGTCTTCTCCACCACCCTCCGCGTGCAGATAGCAGAATAGCTGCTGCCACCATCTGGTGGGAGAGCAGCATAGCTGCCGCCCCAAGCCTTCAGTTTGCATTCGTTTTGCTTTCTGAAAAAGTTAAGCTCACGTGCCCTTCTGAGCACTCTTTTTTAGAGTGTGACTGTCACATCCACTGATCCTGTGAAAGAACTAAAGCTACACAATAGGAGAAGTGGCAGGGAATAAATCAGGATGCAGCAAAGGCAATGCCCAGAATGCATGTAAAAAGTTCTTCCTGCAGAATCATCTTTTCCTCCATGCCTGAAATCCACCCACCACATTAAGTGAACCTCTGCTTTGTCACCCCCAGACACAATCCACTGTCTTTCCAGTTCTCACTGGCATGATTCACAAATAGCAAAGCCACTACATAGCCCAGGTGTCCTCTTGCTCTTAGCTAACACCTGAGAAAACACTGGTTTTACTGACCAGCAAGTTCTCAGCTTCTATTCCACAGTGCAAGGACCTGCAACTTTGTAACAGCCCACGTGTAGTCAGCCTAAAGGCACTGAACAGTGCAGCAACACATTGATACAAACACTGTGGTGTTCTGAGTGCCACTGGGCCACTTAATTGTGCCCAGAAACGAACAGAAGAAAACTCCTTTACTCAAGCTCCCTGAAAAGTTGGCATTCTCAAACCTAGCTTAATTAATGGTCAATGAAGCCACTACTCTGACAATATATGGGAGGCACACAGGTCTGTTCTGAAGCTTGTTCAGTTTTATTTAAGAATCCTGTCTCAGTTGAATTTTCATTTTCTCTGCTTTACCCAATCAGGAAAATGCAAGGATTTTTCTGCAAAGAGCTGATCTGGCAGGTAAAGGTGATCAGGGTAGCTGTGGCTGCAGAGCCAGGTTCACTGTGGCAACTGGAGGAGTACAGACTGTCCAGAAGGCAAGTAGGTAATGTTGCGAGACCTTGAGAGCTGGTAAGCAATATCTTCAGCTGCCTCCAGCTTGCGTAGCTCAATTAAGCCATCACCTGCAGTGGCTAGTGAGTTGGCAATCAGCTCAGCTGCTTTGGAGTCTCCCTCAGCTGAGATGACAGCTGCTTTCTTCTGCTGCTCAGCCTGCAAAGGAACAGATGAGAAGAAAAGTGAGCAGAACAGGAAACAGAAGGACGATGCTACTGTCAAGTTTAAAGTACAAATTTCCCCTTCGCCAGCCTACTGTTCTTTCCTCCAGAAGACTAAAACAGGTGGTTGTATATACATGCACATTTTTTTGTCTATTGTGGAGGAGAGGTTTAAAAGTCTTGAAATTATCTTATCTTAACCTCCTGGAAGAGCAACTCACCTAAGGGCACTCTTGGTGGATAGCTGTCTTAGAAGATTTGAGAACTGTGAACTATATTAGCATTATGGTTCTGAGTGAAACCAAGCGAATGAAACATTCACAATGAGATGAAATTACAGAGATACCAGAGACTGTTTTCAAGCCAAAGTTTCTCAGAAGGATAAAGCACCTTTTCCACAATGAACCTGGCTCGCTCTGCTTCTTGCTGGGCCACTTGCTTCATTTCAACTGCTTCAGTGAATTCCTTGCCAAAGGTCAGGTGGGTCTGCAGGGCAGAAATCACAGTTCACAACAGCATTTACAGCGACACTGCTATCAACAGCACACCTCTAAGGCAGGAGGCATCCTGCCTTTATCAGAGAAGATGGAAAGCCAGTATCACTAAACAAAAATTAAAAATGCAATGTAACAGAAGCTAAGCCTAGCAAACTTTCCCTTTTTTTAAAAAAAAAGGGAAGGAAGACACCATAAACACAATTTCAATCCAGCAGGTCGGTCAACATAAATATCTGGAGAGACATACCATGCTCTCCTACCATTTCTTTTCTCTTCATGCTCAACTATGCACTGTTGTGCCCTCCCTGAGCTGTTCTGTACACATACAGACTACTGGGATG